CAACTGTCAGAAGCTTTAAATTCAAAATCTGTAAATTGTTGTGCTGCTGCTAAAGCCCACTGTTGTAAATTCCGAGTAGTCACTTGTTGATAATTCTCTCGGGCTTCAACAAAACGATCACGTGTCCAGGAATTGATTGTTTCGTACTTATCAAATTGATTTCCTCCTTTTTTTATCTCTTCTTCCCATTGGGATAAATATTCCTTCTTTTTTAACCGGCTGCATCCTTTTTTTTGCAATGTTTGTAGATTCCACGTGGGGTGAGCCTTTGCGATATTAACAACTTTAATTTTGTAATCAAAAGAAAGATGGTCTACCTCTCTCTTTTTTTTTTTTTCCTTCTGGTTCATACTCATCTGATAAGCTATATTCATGATAAATTGTCTGGTGATATTGATCAAAGTGAAAAAAAATCTTTTAATATTCCATATTAACATTTAACTAAAGAATTCTCTACTATAGCTGTTATTGATTATCCTTTAATTGTTTTTGTTAAAAAAAAAAAATATCATAAAACAGTGTGATTAGTGGAACATATTTTGTAAAAAACTTTTTCTAGTCACTAGTTATGACTATATACAGATACTACTGTATGATACAGTGTGTATATGCTGTATATAAATATAAATATATATATATATAAATATATAAATTAACATGCTCTGTAGAAATGCAGTCAACTTCGCTACTACGCAGTCCAGATTAGAGGAAATCCGCTCTGTAATCTGCTTTAATCTGTTTTTGTAATCTCGACCAGTTGGCATTTCATCTTTTATAACGGAAAATTTCTTTGGCCATATGCTAATTTTCAAAAAACAGGCATTTTAACATAATTCACAGATTGTATTTTTAATAAAAAGGCAACCAAATGTCGTTAAATTTTTAACAACCGTTACACACGAGGCAATTTTTTAATCGGGAGAATGATCAGTTTGCCAAATTGCGGCGTGGTAGTGGCTTGGTTAATTTAAATTCTTCGAATTGGATTCCTTAATCGAGGGTGGCTGCTTGAGAAAAAAGTACACCTTGCGTCGTTTTTTATATAAATTGTTGTTTCGTAACGTCTCGAGATGTTCACGCAGTTGTTAAAACTACGATCCTATCAAAAGATATTTAAATATAGTAAAAAAAATAATAATAATAAAAATAGATATTTTATGCTGCGATTTGTTTCCTCCGAATCAGATTTTGAATAACTTTTTATATTCTTGTTCGTATTTTTTAAATTCTTCTTCGAATTAGAACCAAAGATTACAATATGCAAAGATGAGAGTACAAAAAAAACAAAGAAAATTCTATCATATTTTCGATCACGAACCTCCGACACTTGACATATCAGTACTACTCGTTTGTGATCGTTTAAGAAAGAAGAAAAAAAACATATAACAATACTTATTTCCATTAATAAATGAGCCATTTTCAAATTTAGCCATAGGGTTGTACAGTTCGTCATTCTGTTTCTTTGTCTGATTTCATGTAGTATTCTCTGACTTATTTAATGTATTTATTTGTGCTTTCTTTTGCATACAAATTGTGTAATTTTAGCGAGTGCTTTACAAGAAAAACTAGCCAACTATTTACATAAATGATATCGATATACTGACGTCGATCGTACGTGACAAATTAACTGCGCAGTTGATTACTATTAGCAGGTGCCTAATTAAACTCACTGAAATAATTTTATTGTTAATATGCCTTCACGTTGCTGCGTAGTTAAATTGTCATGCAATTAGAGTCTAATATTAAGTACTGGAATTAGAAAATGACTACTATGCAACTTAAGTGTCGACTAGCGAATTTCCGTTTCTTATTTCGTCGAATCTTCGTAAAGGTTTTTCTCATTTTTTGTAACAGAGTCAAGGAAGACTCAATTAAAAATCTGGCACTTTCTGTTTTTTGTACACCCGAGTGACTCGGAATGCTCGGATTGTATCCGAGTCGCAAGCTCGACAGAGACGATTCCAAAACCTCTTTGTTGTGCGTAAAGTGAGCCACATTTAAATATATGTAAGCAATAATTGGAGAGCAGGTAGCAAATAGGAAAGTGTTCTCCATTACCAAAATCAAATAAGTCTACCTCATTAGGTAAATGTTTCATTCCTTTCTTGGTATTGAGTTGGTAAGGTTAGATTCGAAACTCTTACATTCGAAATTTCCATTCAAAGCATAGAAGAGGATAATTTACCTATGCATTTCGGAATTTATTTGTCAAAATTTAAAAAGTTGTGCCTTGTACTAAACTCCAAAATTTTGTCAACTCGTAAACTTTTATTATCGATTAAAAATATACGGCACATTTACGTACATTCGTATTGCTGTTTGATTGGAAATTTTTCCGTTTTTTGACGTTAATTTACCTGTGTTTACAAGTGTCTCGATAAGTAAACATTATGATAATTATGAGTATTTGAAATAGTCTTTGGTAGTATGTAAATGTTTAAAAAAATGATAAACTTAATTCCAGTTCTGTAATTTTAAGTCGCACGTTTATAGTTTTGAGAATGTAATTGCATTTAAATAAAACTGGAATTTTTAAACTTGCTTTATCAACTATAATCTGTAAAAAAGCTTGTGATGTAATGTTTTTATATGCTATTTGTGCAATGAAATTAAAAGTCTGACTACAACTGTATTTTGTGTCTTCATTTTTGCATGAGCTCTTGTAGTGAATATAACGTAGAATATGTGATAAGTATTTAAACAGTGGCCGAATGTCTGTAGTTGGTCATGGGGTTTGTACCTAACCAAGATTGCTTATCATAGAGAAAATCTGGAAAACTGCACGCAGCCAGAGAGACAAGATTCCCACGAAAGTCCTCTCGAGTGGTACCTCCTCTCTGGCAGATCGCCCACATGTTGCAATACCTTATCCTATCAGTCCTACCTAACAAATAACCTAATTTTGAATTCAAACTGCAAGAAAGTTATCATGATCCCATGGTTTTTTTTGGAAGTCCATTGAGTCTTCTGAAGCCAAAATCATTGTAGTTCGAGAACAGTGCATGCTACTATTAATGGTTAGATGATTGAATGCAGTTGTAAATTTACCATTGCTAATTTGGCTATTTTATAACTGCTATTTGGTATAGTTATGGAAGTATTCCTCACCTTTAACTTATGGAACCTGTATGAAATCATATATATGAAGTAAATGTGTGTTTTGATTATCATAAACTACTGTTAAACATTAAGTGGTGTTTTTTATGTGTGAAGTGACTGTAAAAAATTGGTACATCAAACACATTTATGATGGCAATGGGTATGTTGTCGTTGTCAATCAATCAATATGAGGCATCTGCATACAAAGTTTGTGTGATGTGTGATCAGTCATGTCACGTAAACTTAACACATCTGGGCTTTGTATTGATAAATTAATATGAGGCACTGTAATGGTTGTATCTTGTACTATAAGATCTGACGTGTCACGGGACATGAAGCGAGTGATGTTTTATCATGGAGAATATGGATTAAATTATAGAATCTTAATGGCCACTCCAGTATTTTCACCATTTTCAGAAGAATATCTCTCTAACAACGTTATACCAAATTATACTTTTCAGAATATTTAAAACTGAAGCATAATTTTAATAAAACTGTTTTCTAGTCAACCACAAGAGTGGCAAAACAAAGAGGAGTATCATAACGGACCAGAAGGAAACGTGGAAAACCAAGTCCGACCGAAACGAGGCGGCAAAGGGATAAAACAACTCCTCAAAACATATTTCTCTATTGCAGTACTCTATCTCTCCATAATCCCAGAATCTAGAGAGAAAACAGATTTTTAAATTACTAATTAGTACACAAAATTAATTGTAATTAAAACTTTGTTAATGTTAATAGTAAATTCTAAATTGCAGCACGTTATATATTATAATTTTAAGATAACAAAATTCTTATTTATGAAATAATTGACTACAATCCAGTATGCATCGAACGGCACCGGTTCTGCGACATACTAAAATGTGTTTTGACATTCACCAAGTTCGTCAGTGGATATGGTGAGCTCCAACAAAGCAATGTGGGCCATCTCCACAGTTATATTATAAATGCCATTTCTACTGTGTTATTTTGACAAAATGGTCTGCAAATGCCATTATTGAGCAGTTAGGCTGCCAGATATTCGAGTAATAGCTTATTAAACCATTTGCTGGTGCATCACTCATGGCCGAGTTTGATGCATACTGGAATGTACCCGTTGAATGAAACACTTTCTAGAAATTTTAGTGTGTCTTGAGAAAATTGTAGTGTTACAACAGAAGCAAAATTTATAGAAATTGTTTTTATACTTTAATGTAATGCATGTTAAAATTCTGTCACTTTTATTTACATTAATTGTAGAGCCATGATTAATTTGTCTATATAATTCCATTATAGAGGTCCTTCCAAAAAATTTGGAAAATTTCATGCTTGGTAACTAAATAAACTGAGCCGACACTTTAAACATGGTCTTTTCTATTGACGTGCAGTGATTGTTTTTTTTTACCGGATAAAACTTTAAAAGATTTAAAATTATTTTTATTATTGCCATACCTCTTTGTTCTTTTTGTCTTCCAAGGTGCGCAAACAAAGTTGACACTGCTGGTCAAAGGAAAAGAAGGAATGTCTTCCACTCCGCATCCGTTAATGCTACAGTGTGGCGTCCACGACTTCAAATGATACCTGAAGGATATTTAATTTAATAATTATGAATTTTTGTGTGTTTCTTAAATATATTTCAATGATGCATGTCGTATGGTAGATTAATTTGGAGATTCTAAAAAATTAAATTGACACTGACTTATTTTAATGATAATTAGACTATACAAAGCACTAAATCTATGTAAATTAGTAGGACAAGTGCAACAGTTAACACAAGTACGGCACTTTGTGTAAATCCCAAATTGTTATTTATATCAAAAAGAATGGAAATTGCATACATGACTCTGCTCTGTGGATACTAAGAGGAGAGTTTTACCAGGCTCACAATGGGGTAACCAAGTATCGGGAATGGTATTCTACACATTTGGGACACCCTCCACAGAAATTTTTGGGATCATTCACCAGGATTCAATCCCACAAGCAGTGGTGCAGTGGAGCTGAGAATGAAGGGAAGAGTGTTATTGTAGGAAACACTGCTTCTTGCCATCCTGGTGTAGAAATTTGTTTGACAAGAGCTCAAAGTTTAAAGTACAAATGACTAAATTTAAAATTTTCAAACACATTTGACAAAAATATACACAATCAGAAAATTGTTTAATGATTTTATTCTTACATTTTAAACTGAACAACATGAAACAATTCAAAGTTTTTTTCTTAATCCTTCATGTTACGGTTCTACAACATTAATGTTTATTAATTTTATCTATATAAATAACTTTTTATTGTGTGTAATGGATTAGTAACACTTATAAAATGAGAACCCTTTGAATCCAAAAAAGCACAAAAGAAAAATGGCAAGAAAATGCCATGCATATGTGTGTTTGCATCTGTTTTGCTTAATATCTCAGGACGGATTGAAGATAAAAGTCATGAAATTTGGCACAGTAGTTTGTATATAAGGGGCTTGATGCTATTAAATTTTGGTTGGGAAAGATCAAGGGGATGGAGAGATAGAGGGTGGTCAGGTGTCATATTGTGGAAAGAATCAGACTTAATGAATATTTTAATTGTTAGCATTTGTAGTGTTTTATAAAACTCATCTTCACCCTCAAAATTAAGTCTTTTGCTATTTTATAATAATTAAAAATATATAAAGCTTTTTATAACAAAATCCGTAACAGATGGCGCCACATACAATTTTAGTTATTTTGATTAATTAGTAATTACTAGCATAAATATAACACTACTTAATCCGACAATCGTTTTAATAAATAAATTCGGTTTTTTGGGTCCCCCTCGTGCAATTGTCATAAAGGGGTTTGGTTTTAAGGATAGCATTTTCTAGTAGGAAATGATATATGCAAATTTTTTATCATTTCTCGGACAAGGCACGGATATTGTATAAAACACACTAAGAAACAAGTTAAGCAACAGAACAGAAAAACTGAAGAAATACACCTAAATTCCCATTAAAATGTCTCTCATTCTCATTAAAGACAGGACCAGATGTCTCTGGCTTGCCGGGATGGAAAAAAAAGCAATGAAAGATACCATTATGCAATGTATAGCAGACAATATATGTGAAGTACAGTCGACCCCCTATAACACTGTTGATTTTTCCGTTTTATATGAATTCCATGTTGTACGAGTCACTTAGATTTTATAAATACCTGTGCCGGGCTGTGAACGGCTCAAATTTGTAAAATCTAAGTGACTCGTATAACATGGAATTCATATAAAACGGAAAAATCTACAGTGTTATAGGGGGTCGACTGTAGTGTTATGCTATAACAAACAAGTATTTCAAACTACTTCACACGTATTGAGAATGGGCCGAGTTTTATACAGTCCACTGCATAATGTTGCATTTCTGCAATACTTAATTCAATAATACCGATTAACCGAACGTCCAATTATCCGAACCACCGTTTGACCTTTCCCTCCCGCTGATGTCACACTGCAATTCTCTTAAGTCGTGCGACTATTTTCTGTGACAGATCCAAATGAACGGGAACATAATTTAAAGTTTTAGTATGAGTTTAATGGATGATAAGTGGGAATCCCGATCCTTCCTCTTTAAATAAAGGACGATAAGTCAAAACCCCCAAATCCTCCTTAAAGGATGATGAGTGGGAATTCCAATTTCTCAAATTGAAAAACTTAAAATATAGAACAACATCAACATGATTATTAATGGTTAATTATACCCAAATATAATTGACCATTTTGGTATACTTTGGTACTTACTTAACAAAGGAACCGAGTATGCGCCAAATGGACCTTCCATTAATTCTTCCAACTTCCGCATACACAATTTGCACTTGCAGATGATAAGGTAAGTCGTGGCACGTTTCCAAAGTTCCCCTCTCCGAATCTTCGCTCTCATTTAAATTACTGTTAAAACGAATAAACATCCGAAATATTATAATAAAAATTAATTACAATTCGAGAATTTAATTGTAATTAATTTAATTACCTGACGATAATTTTAAGAAAGTCCGAGATATTTTCGAGGTCCGGATTTCCTCCCTTACTGATGTAATTTGCTTGATAAAGATCTTTGAATAGATTCATCAGATCCCATCTGAAAATAGTTAAATCTCAGTTAAAATTCAGTTTTACATCATCATCATCATCATCGATGATTTAATACAGAATTTCTTCAAGTTTTGTACGTAAATTGAGAAATTTTCACCATAGAAAATGCTGATTTATGGCGTAAAACGGGATTTTTATGAATTTTTGAAGTATTTATGGCTCATTTTTACTCACAATAACTATCATTGGTTGGTTTCAAAGCTGAAAATCTTCCACAGAAGATGATTACACAGGAAGATTGTATTGTGTTTGTTATAAATATACTTCTACGAGGGTGTTTTTATGTAACATTTGGTGTTATGAGAATAAAAGGTGATGACACACTTAATTTTCTTGAATCTTTCTTCTGGAGTTTAGGACATTTTTCTCAAATTTCAGTACTTTGTTACAAAAACAAAGAATTTTATGTATTGAGTACGTGTTTATAAATTCAGAATAAAACAAAGAATTTCAATACTTTCGTTCATTTGTCATTTATCAAGGCCCTTCAGAGAAGCCCAGGCTTTCTGTGAGGCTCGAACTTTATTTCTAGACCCTACAAAGACTAAGAAGAACACTGGAAAGAGTAGTTTCTAACAAACGTCCTTCTGGACGGGTGGTAGGGCTCTAAACGTGGTATGTTCCCCCAATATTTTTGTACCACGAAGTATAAACGAGTACGGTACACAGTAGATACGCTTTAAACACCACTACGATAAATTTTTAGCTGTCATTGGCCCCAATCCACAATATCCACGCTTGTTTTTGAGGCCTCCTTTGTGTTGTCCGGAGTCTTCCTTTCGTAGGGCCTGCCTAGCGTACCAATTATACATTACTTTAATTACGGAAACAATATTACGTGAAATTCCTGTATATAAAGACACGATATTCTGTTACGAAACACGGAAACACGAGCCATTTCCTTCTCCCCCCCGTATCTGGCACGAAGCCAGAATTTTTTTAAATAAAAAAAAATCGCATTCAATGCTATTTTTCTAACGTAAATGTCATCACATTTTATGTTTAAATCGCATGCAATTTAAAAAAAAAAAAAAACACGGGCCATTTAACAGGTGAGCAACACAACTTACGTTAATCAATTTAATTGGGATGTTCCTTAATTATTTCATCAATAAATTCATTTTCTTCTTTTTTTTTAATGATGAATGTTGCATTCGCGGAAAGATAATTGCATTTATACGAGGGGAATGTTGCATTCTCGTGTTGATAAAGGGAAAATGTTGCATTCTGGTCTATAAAACTGCATTTATACGGGGAAGAATGTTGCATTCTGGTCGAGATAATTGCATTTATACGAGGGGAATATTGCATTCTCGTGTAGATAAAGGCATTTTTATCAGGGGAAATGTTGCATTCTCGTCTAGAAAAATTCATTTATACGAGGAGAAATGTTTGCATTCCGTAAAGATAACTGCATTGTTATCGGGAAGAATATTGCATTCTTACGAGTACAATTGCATTTGCACTAAGATAATTACTGCATTACAAAACCCAATTAATGATTATTCATTCATCGATTCAGATAATTTAATAACAAATGAATAAGAATGGAATAAAGCAATTGCAGGAACAGAACGATTAAAAACTTAAATGTCAGTCACGTCGACAGATAGCAGCAGTCGACAATAAACGGAAACAATTTATGCTTATCTGCAAGACATTGCAGCATTTCTCCAATAGTAAATTCGCTCGTCTATTAATATTCTACACCAATAATTAGGGAAGAAAAATTACAGAATTTGATAGAAAAAAAAAATACCCGAAAGTTTCATCTTCCTCGACAGAACTCATAAAACTTTCATTTAATATTCTCTCCTCTAAATACTTTTAATCACTTGACCTTTAATATATTAAACTTTTAAAAAGAAATTACAGTGTATATACAGTTAAACATGCATATTGATACTACAGCCTGTTCTTCTGTTATACAATATATTTTATGCCCGTTTATTTTACTTTATAAATAGGCCCATAATTTGACACCAGATTTTAACACAGCAAAACTCTATCTCCATTCAGAATTTTCTAAACACGACAAGGTGATTAAGAATTCTAAACAATCGGCTCTTTCGTATAAATCCTTACAATACCCATTATATTGTCATCGTTAAGAGGTAATGACACGGAATTCTTAGGGTGAAATTCATAGCCCCAAGTCGGACATCCTGCAATTAATACTACAATATCAACAATATAATTAGAAATTGAACGATTAGTAAAGTTATATCAGAGAATTCTAATGTTAAAGTATAGCAATTATTCTGGTTTAATTAATAAGAGGCTTGCATGAAAGTGTGGCTTGATAGATTCTATAATTAATGTCAATTATAATAAGAGAGTTAATTGATCATCGTCGTGAATTTTCCTTCCGAATGTAATTTAAGATAAAGAAGCTTCAGCTCTATAACCGATATAATTGTCAAAAAAAAAGCGTTTTTTATGTTCTGTAACATGAAATAACATTAAAAATATGGGTTCTTACAGTCGACTCCCTATAACATTGTTGATAATTCCGTTTTATATGAATTCCATGTTGTACGAATCACTTAGATTTTACAAATACGTGTGCCGGGCTGTAAACGGATCACGTATTTGTAAAATCTAAGTACTCGTACAACATGGAATTCATATAAAACGGAATTATCAACAGTGTTATAGGGGGGTCGACTTTACTTTCAAATATTGTTAAAGTATTATCATCGTTTTTTAAGGCGACCTCTGAATCGTGCCAGTTCACCCTGCACCGAAAATCTAGGGTTCCGTGATATGGCCTAAAGTTAAATTTCGATATTCTTAGTTAAGAAATAATTAAAAGATTGATTTGGGGACCCCAGGTAATGGCCCTTTTTTGCCCATAGGATAAAGCTTTAATGTGATTTATTAAGTTCAATTTGGCTATTTAATATTGAGCTTAATAAATAAAGGAGGGGGGTAGTAAAATCACCGACAAAATATTCGTTTAAAAAGAGATCCTTACGCTCAATGACATAAAATTAATATAAAGAAATAAGAAATGTAACCTTCACCATTAACAAAAAGCAGTGTTAAGCTGAACAATACTAACAAAGAAGGATTTGTGTTCACCAACACAAAGTAATAGTTCATAAAAAAATCACAATCAATAAAAAAAATGACAAAAAAATTCATATTTTCCAACAATTTCTCTAGTTTCTAACATGCTTTTAACACGTCCAACACCATTATTATTCAATCCATCTTCATCTTTTAACAATTAATATACAAAAGAAAAAAAAAACTTATTGTGTGACGTATATTTTATTATGTATTTTTTTATTATCCAATAAAGTAATCTGAGGATTATTTATGCAAATTCTCGACAGCTGATTAATACAATTTGATGTTTTTAAAGTGCAAAATGCATTAAAATCTGCTGAAAGTTTGGCAAACTTTTTGAACATTTAAAAAAAAATTTACATAAAATATACTCTTAAAATTCAATTTAATAAAGATTTTTTGAGGCCTCATAAAGTTAAAAGTGTCTCTTTGTTATTAAAATAATAATAAATTTGAAAGCTTTAAGATATAAGCTTTAGCTTATGTATAAATCTGATTAAATAATAAAAGCATAAACCTTTGAGGCCTCTTTAAATGTGAGGCCCGAACTAAATGGCCCCTGTAATAGAATCTAGATATAGGGATATTGCTGTCTCCCCTGTGACTGCTTGTTATCTAGATTTTAAAGTTTGTAAGTTAGATATTATACATGTCACGCAAGTGTTAACTCTTATCAAACTTTAAATTATTATCCAATTTCATACTTGAAAGGATTTATGATTTATTATCCTCATACAATACTCTATCTAGACCCATATTTGATATAATAATTTAGAATGGTGATTGAAGAGAAAACTATCATAAAGTTTTGTAAACAGGCAAAAAGAATATGTAATTTGTTTTTATACAGGATGGACTGAAAGTCAGTTAACCACTCTAAAAGGCTAAATATTGCCTCATTCAAATACTTTATGACATAGCAAATTTTACAAAAACTATTGAAATTATTTATGATTCATATTTGCAAGTATGCACACAGTTAAATGACTTTTGGGCCATTGTGTGTAGAAAAGTATTAAATTTAGGAAGAAAGAATAAATTAATAATTCAAATAGACAATTACAGCCTTGAATCCTTTGCTATGGACTTCAGGAAACTAGATTTAAAATTAACCGAACAATCCACAGGGCAATCATATTGCTTATCACTGTCAAACTAGAGAACGGCACAATGCACAATTCTAATCATAACCGATGGTATTCACTATGGAGCATTATATAGGCAAAAATTTCTAAACTCCAACTTATTTCAAGGTCTAAGAACAGCTATTGGAGATTACTTTAACGTCTCGGGTTCCATAACATCCAAAATAACATGGAAAACATTTAAAATTTGTGCAGAAAGGAGAGGGAAACATACAGATAGCTTCTAAATTAACATAAGGGCTTTGTGACTATTCTGTAATCAGTGCCACAAATTAATAGCTAATTTATAATTAATATCTTAAACAAGCCTACAAACATATGTAACATCAGAAATAAATTTAATGCTAATTTATTAGCATTATTAAAAAAAATAGAGTATTTATTATAATGTACTGTACTACATTCATAATTCTTCTTAATCATAGAGTTAATAATTCATTAAGTAATATGAGCAATTAGCAATGAAATATATAAATGAAACTGCAATTCAATCTTTACAATGGTTGACTGACTTTTGGACAACTCTGCATGTTACTGGAATATCAATTTAGTTTTCATTATTAATCATATATCAGAAACACTACTGTAATTATTGTATATTGAATTATGACAAGGAGTAATAATTGTATTTAAGATTAAAAACACTTTCTTTTTTTAAATATTTTTGAAAAAATTAAAAAAAAAAGAGTTTAATCTAGACCACTTCGCGCCAGTCGTATCTTTAAAGTCATTCATCAGTTTTACTCTGCCGAGCCAAGGCAATTTC